TACCAGAACTCAAAACCTTCTGACACCAGTTCACACTGTGGGGAGGGGGAGCTGAGAAACTAGAGTTGAAACCTGGGTCCCTGTGAGACCCTCTCACTTCTCACAAAGACTCTATCTTTTCTCCAGGGAAATCCAGACTCCACTTAAGCACCCTCAAGGCCATGCTGCCTCCCAAGGGGACAAGGTGAGACTTGATTGTGGGATAACATTGGGCACCCAAACTGGCTTTCATAACTCTTTGCCCTGTTCAGAGAGCCTTCAGTCACTCACTTGGCAGAGAAAATGTCAAAAATAAATCCAGGCCGGGATTTATAAATAAATAAAGCCAGCCTCCATCTTCAGCACCTCTTCCAGTACACACCAGGGATCTAAGATCTCAACCCTGGGAAGAAGAGAAAGACTGAAGGAAGGGAAGAGAGGCAATAAAGGGACAGAAGCCCTGGTTTTAGGGTGAAGTAGTCAGGAATGTGGTGTGGCCACAGGCCAAGGGTGAGGATGGCACCTGGAGACTTCTGGCCTTGACTGTATCTGGAAACCATCAGACAAAGGAGGGAAGGAAGGAAGAAATCATTCAGAGGCACCTTTCCTAATTCAGCCCCAGGAATGTGTGGGTATATGTGGGGAGGGGAGTCTGTGACCTTTTCCAGGTCCAGGCCTCACTCGTTTGAACCCCCTGTGCTGAGCCCAAACTGAAAGCTGGTAATCGCAACCCCTTGGGCAATGACCCAGGCAATTGGAAAGAGGCGTCATGGTCCAGTGGTGTTGGGAGCCGTGCCTCACCTCACCCACCAGTGAGTCACCTAAGCCAGGCTAAGCCCGGGAGCCTCCACGCTTCTCCTCTGCCACCAGCACATCTGGGTCCCGGTTTGAGCAGAGAGAGGACTTGAGAACATTAGGGGGTCCCAGCATGGAGAAGGGAGAGTGGGGAGACAGGAAGGGATGACTCCATCTGAGCTGACCTCTGGGTTCCACCCCGAGACTGCCACCAGAGCCTCTATATCTGGACCCCTCCAACTCCATTCCTGATCCTAACCACATTACTCCCCTTGGGCCCCATCTCTATCCACCAGCCCAGCTCCCCAACCAGAGTCTTCAAACCACCCTCCATGATCTGCAACTGACTTCCAGAGCTCCATCACAGCCTTCCAGATCTGATCCCTCCTACTCTCTAAATGCCCCAATCACTGCCCTCAGAGAACTCGTTCCTACCTCCAGTTTCCCAGACCCCATGCCCACCCATTCCAATCTTCATCCTTTCCTCCCAAGGTGCTTTGCATTGAGAGGTGAGAGTTGAGCTTCATTAACATCTCATTATCCAGAGTGGATTTCCATAGCTGTTTACCCATTTAGAAAGAATCTAGTCATTTACAGGACTGAAGAAGTGACCAAAAAATATCCCAGGAGGTAATCGGCCTACGTCTCCAGCCTATTTCCTTCTGCCATAAGTTGCCTGCACACTTAGAATAGAGTCCTAAGTGACAGGACCTGAAATTTGGAGCAAAAAAGAGTTCAGCAAATCTCCCAGTCCACCAGAAGAGTGTTTAAGCCTGTTTGCCCCTCACATGTGTAGGCAGTTACACATACATGTGCATGTAATCCTGTAAACATACACATATATAATTAATCTAAGTATACATACATTCACATGTACATGTTAGAACAGAATGTAAGCTCCGTAAGGTCAGGAACAATGTGCCTTTCTGTGATGTACCTCCCAGTTCCTACAAAGATGTTGACACAAGTATTTGTTGAAAGAATGACACATAATGGAACACGTACTTGCAAATAAATGTATATATATACACTTATAACAATGCTTATCCACACACCCATATGCTTTTAGATAATCCACATACATAACATATATTGTGATATACATGTGTACATGTATACATACACCTCATATACAATGCATGTAAGCACACACACATAACTACTATGAGCAAATAGTAGACATTACATATAGATATCACACACATATATCACTCATATACTACACATACATGTGCACGCTCACATACATAAATGAATACAAATGGAAGCACCTTTTTACTCAAAAATTTCCAGTCAATTTAACTGTCTCAAGCTCCCTACCACCCACCCCCAGGCCTGGTTGCCACAACCAGAAATATCCACCAGATGGCACTCCTTTGCCATTTCCTGTATTCCCAAGTGTTGCCAGAGATGTCGGCCCTTTAGGCCAAGGCACAAAACTGGCGGAGGAGGGGGGACCCCCGAGAGATTCCTCCTCACTCCCCTACCCAGCAGGGCAGTGGCCATATCCTCGGTCCCCAAAGTCTGCAATCTCGCCCTCTCCGAAGTCAAACTCATCCTCTGGGGCCCCCAGGCTTCTGTTGGAGGGGCGGACTTCCCTTTAGGGGCCCCAGTTCTACTCAGCCCTCAAATCCACTCCCGTTCACCAGTGAGCCAAGGGTTGGGCTTCACCCAGACCCCCTCGGTTCAGAACAGCGCGCTCAAGGAGTCTTCATAGTAATAAGCAGTCAGATTACCCATGTCAGCAGAAGATGGAGTCAGGGTCATTTGTACACGTGTGGCACCTACATTCCTGGACACACAGCCCTCTGATCCCAGCGTACTCCCGACATCGTGCCCTAAATGCCCAGCTGGAGTCAGCCAAAAGCAGAGAGAATGGCCAGGCCCTGGGACCTAGTACCCTTGGCTAGGGAGGGGCTGGTCCCGGTTAACCCCTCCTGCACCGGTCCAGGGTTGACTCCGGATCTCTGATCGGGGAAGGAAGTACATCCGCTCATCTTAAGCAAACCACTTACATCCCGGAGGTTAGGGAAGTGGGGTGCGACAGAGGTCCTCCTGCCTCCCTGCCTAGGCCACTCCGAGTCAGCTCTCCTGGAACCTCATACTTCAGGTGTGAGCAGCCACGAACAGAAAACGCAGGGAAGGCTTGGAACCCCGTTGGGAGGGGAGGCCAGAGTTGTGGCAGCGGCTCCGCTTCCCCCTCCTCTTCCCCTCTCTTCCCCCGGGAGCAGCGGGAAATTATTTATTAAAACGCCGCCCGCGCTCTCATTTATTTGCGGTGAATAATCCTCGGCATCGCAGCGCGTTTATTAAACCTTTCCCGTCCCCGCATTACTTTAATAATAAATCGCGTGTCACTTTCCAGCGACGTTATTAAAGCCCGTCTGCGGAGCAGAGGCGGGGAGGGGATGGGGGCTAGAGGAGCAGGGATTCCTTCTATTCCAGGCTGCGGAGCCTGAACCAGCAGGGCCGCGGAGGGGGAAACTGAGGCTGCAAGGAGGATGCACTCGCATACTCTACAAAGTCTGCATAAGCAAACCAGGAGGACAGATTCCGGGGGTGCGTGTGACCCTGGTTGGGTCGGTGGAGCCCCTATTCTGCAGGTGGGCGCAGTAGGATCGATGGGCCCGCCAGGGGGCGCCTTCAAACACAGCTGCGCTGGGGTCCCCTTCGAAGAACTAGCCTGGGAACTAGCCAGGCTGCCACAGAACCCAGACCACGTCCCTTCTTTCAATGCGGAGCAGACCTCCTTGTGTTCTGGACGCCAACACGACCCCTCTATCCCTGGCACACCGCTCACGTCCCTACTCGGGCTTCTGCGGTCGCCTTGGAATTCGCCTCAAGTATACAACCTGCTCGAGCCATGGGGCGCAGTTTCTGGGGCCGCCGGGCTCTGGACGGGACGAGAGCTGTCCTCTGGATTAGCCTCTGCAGGACCCTGCGCTTCCGTGGGAGGGACCGCCAAGCCCTCGGGTTGGGATTCCTGACCACGCCCCTCTCTAGAGCCCGGGCTCCCTGCGTCGGGCCGCAGAGGACATGCTCAGACATCGAGCCAACTGCAATCTCTCCTGCGGTGGCGCCAGGCTCTGGGAGGAGCCCCGGCGCGTAGGAGACTGTCGCCATCCATACACGGGGTCTTGGCCTCACGAATTTAAGTTTTCATTTTCTGCTTCAATCCATCAATAAACACTGTGCCTCACCAGTGCCCCTTGGCTAGGTAAGGAGAGTGTGGAGAGAGACGTGCGGAGGGAAAAAATGTGGCTCCGTGAGGACCCTCAGCCAGATAGGACAGGTCACAGTTGGTAGATGAGGAAACAGGCTTACCTGACTTTGTCTGGTTTCAACAAGGAAATAGGTGGGTTCCTAGGGTTTGGCCCATACTGCTGGCCAAGCATCTCCCCTCCTTCATCCAGCTTGTGATTTTACACTGGGGCCTTACCCACATAGACCTGGTTCCCCACTCTGTCTAGGGAGGGGACCAGAGTGGGTTGAACAGAGGGGCAGGCCATCTAACTCTAGTCCAGCACAAATGCAGACCAGACTCGGAAGATACCTTCCCTCCAACCAGATGGCTTCAGCTTTCCTGCCCAGAGGGGAGGGGAGGACCCCGCTCACACTTCCCCTCTGTACATCTGGCAGGCATGTGCTTAGGGAGTGGGACCTCCCGCTTCTGGATCCCTCCCATGGAACTGTGGCCTTCTTGTGCACATCTGCATGAACCATCTGTGCATCCGTGTGACTCAGTTTGTTCATAAATCCTTTATTGCATGCCTACTGTGCCTAGTCCCGTGCGAGGCATTGTCCAGTACAGAGTGGTATAAGAGATGGGGCTGGCCTTGTGGAGTTTCCAGAATGACAGAAGTTAGACATGACCAAATGCCCATCTTACTGCCCCGGACTAAACCATGCTCCACTGTGCTTTTCTAGACAACAGATGGCCAACAGCAAAGAGGACTATGGTTAGTAAGTACAATTGGGACTTAGGTGAGGGAGGAAATCTCTAGAAGGTGAGTTTTGAGGAAGGGTAAACTGAGGCTAGGCGAAGGTTAGGGACTAGAAAAATGACAGCAGGAGCTGTGGTGAAGGGTAGTTAGAAAGACTGGCTGAGCACAGCTGGAGGGAGGGCTGCCAGAAAGAAATGGAGGATCCTGGTTGCTTCTCTGTCCACTCTTCACGCCCCCCCCCCCACACCTCCACCCAGCCTAGGGACCAGCAGGCGGCTGCTATCTTCTGCCTGGTGGGTCCACACTGCAGACTGTCCTGGCCAGGGCACTTTGTCCGTGGGCCCCTTTGCATCCCATCCCACCACCCCCAGCCTCTGTTTCTCTCCTTATCCTCCAACTTTGTCTTCCTACTTACCACCACCACCACCACGTCTCCCCTGTCAAGTGCATGAAAGTCATTAAAGGGCCCTGCTCCCCCTTTGAGGTCTTTTCAAGAGCAGGGATGAATACTATTCCCACTCACCCACCCCCACAGGCCAGAGCTCCGGACCTAGTAGTAATCCTCGCCCTCTTCACTCTCAGCCTCCTCCTCAGGAACCAGATGTAGAGACGGGAGCCGGGGGGTGCCTGTAGAGTTCAGCTGGTCTGCAAACACATGTGGGCAAAGGAGAGAGAACAGGAAAGAGAGGCTGTCAGCACCCACATATCCCAGACTGTGTGAAAGCCATATCTGCATATACGCACACAGAGACACACATGCGAGGGCCTGAACCCACCACCAGTCCCCCCCCCCCAGTCCCCAGAGCCCAGGGTTCCCCCTTACCCGGCGTGAGCACTGTCAGGCTAGCTGGGGCCTCGACCTGGCCCAGAGCATTGCGGGCCAGGCAGCGGTAGGTCCCCTCATCGCTGGGACGCACAGCCTGGATCTGCAGCCAGCCTGTCACTTCAAACCTCTGGGGTCCACCCCTGAACTGGAGCCAGAGGAAGAGTCAGCAGGGTCCCTCTAGGGAGACCTGGGCTGCCTAAGGGAAGCCTCTGCCCCCTATCCTACCTGCACTGAGATGTGGGGATCATCCCCTGGCAGCTGAATGTCCAAGCCGTCCTTCCTCCACTCGATGGATGCCATGGGGTAGGCAAACACCTCACAGCCAAAGATCACATCCTGCCCCGTCACGTTCCAGATGTCATATGGGTGCAACACAATCTGGGGCTCTGGGGGTGGAGGTGGGAGGCCTGAGAACGGGGTGGCACATCTGGCCCAGCAAGAAGCTCACATGTGAACCATCATGGATGTGTTTGTGGGGAAACACGATAGACATGCAAGTAGATACACACCGATAAGCAGGACAGGACATGTACACACAGGTACGTACAAATGTAGGTGTGGGTACACACAGGTACAGACTCAGAGGTGGAGAGGAACATGCAGACAGGATTCACAAGCACACAGGTCCACACCTCAGCTTGGCAGCCACACTCTATCCCTGATTGCTCCCCTGTCCTCATTCCACCCTCTAGGCCCCTGTTCTGCTGTGCTTGTAACTGACACCTCCCCCTGCCCTCCCCCTTTCCTAACCGGGTTCAGTTGCCAAAGACCAGAAGATCGGCCTTCCTCCCACCCCCAACAGGGAAGGGGGGGCGGGAGAGGGGGGGATTCCCACGTGGGAAAGGCAGAGAACCTGAAACCAGATCTGGGCAACAGTCAGAGAGCCTGAAGTTGTGGGGTAAAGTATTGGGACCCTGCCCGTGTTTGTTTTCCTGGCAGCCACCGCCAGGCCAGCCCCTCAAAGGGGCTCAGGAAGCGAAAGTTACTAAAGCTGCCAAAGGAAACCTGAGGTTTGAATGGCTCTCAGCCCCCTGGGATGGGCGGGAGGAGCTGGAAGAGCCCCCCTCCCTCACTACTCCCGAGGCCCAGAAGAAAGAGAAGGGAGGTGGGGACACGGGGCTAACAGCTTGCTCTGCGAATCCGAATCCGCCCAAGTGAAACCTGATTTCATCTCACTGGAAGCCAAATCTCATTGCCTGGGCTCCAGTGGTCTGAGTAAAGCCTGGGAGTCTTTTCACTCTCTCAATTTTGAGAGACCAATCATTGGCTCTGTGCCTGCTCCCTCAGAGGGTCCGTCCCGCCGGCGGGGTCCGGAGCTTTCACTCGACTCAGAGCACACAGCCTGTCTACAAAGCTTGGACCTGCACCTTCGGGCAGCGGTCTCTACGGACCAGCAGCGAGCACGGGCACTCCCCTGCCTCATCTTTTTCGCTCTGCTGGCCAGAGATCAATCCAGTCGGAGGTCGGGGAGCAGTGCCTCGATTGCCCCACGAGCCGGGGGTAGGGGCCCCGGGCCATGCATACCCGATTCGCAGGGCCCCGGGTGCGCCACAGTGAGGTTGGCGTCGGGCCGAGCGCGGGCAGCCTCCTGCAGGCGGCAGATCTGCGCGTAGGTGCGGCCGTCGGATCCGCAGAGCGGGCGCTGCGAGCGGCAGGCACACAGCGGCTCCGGCACCTCCCCGCGGCTCAGGTCGCCGCCTGCGTCCAACCGGCACTCAAGCTGCTCGCCGCAGCGCCCGTAGAAGTGGGCGCTGGGGTCCAGGTCGCAGAGCTGGCCCTCGAGGTTGGCGCATTCCCAGCAGCAGCCGCACGCGTCGCGCACCCGGCCGGCCAGGCAGCCCCGTGGCGCGGCGCACTCTTCCTGCCGGCAGGGAGCGCAGCCCTCGCCCTCCGCCAGCAGCCGCAGCCAGCCGCGCCGCAGGTACTCGGGGCCTGGGGACGGCCGCGCGCCGGTCGGGGGCGGCGTCCGCACCACCACCAGCAGCAGTAGCGAGGGCAGCGCCAGGGCGGCTGCGGGCGGCCGTGGCATGGTTAGCTGGAAGCCCTGCGAGCGCTCTGGGCATCAGCGCGTTCGTGGCACCCTGCCAGGGAGGGAAGCCAGGTCAGGAGGTCAGAAGCAACCTCCCTGTTACTTGTACCAAAGTTTGACCCGAGCACTGCCCCTTCCCCGCTGCCGTGGAGTCAAGTAGACCCTCAACACAGAAGCATCGTGACTCTCTAGGAGTCATCCAGTTATTGATTGGACTGTGTTTCTGTGGTTTGAGGAGAGATGAAAGGAAAGGATGATAAAACTCAGACGCCAGCACGCACGCGCGCACACACATCCCAGCAGTAGTGCCACAGACCATCCAACTCCTGTCCTAGAGGCAGATGGGAATGGATGTCCCCAGAACTAAGGAGTTGTTAACAAGGGAGAAACTGGGGAAAGGGCAAATGCCCTGGTGCCCAGAGAGCTCACCTACTGTCCAGGACTCAGCCCTTCAGAGCAGCCGCGATTCCCGTCCGAGAAAAGGAGGCAGTGGAAAGAAAGCAGAGGCCAACAATCGGCAGGGCTTGCCAGCCACCTCTGCTCCGGCTTGAGGATCTCTGAGCGAGCCCAAGGACTTGGACTCGGAGAGCAACTCCTCCGCCCCCTCTCCCCGCCTCTCGACGTCGCACACAACCCCCTCCCTCCAGTTCTGAAGCTGCCAATTTTATGCAGCCGCACAGGACCCTTCTGGGCCATTTCCCCTAGCTGGGCCAAAGTCACAGTGAGAAGTGAGGAGTCGTAACCGGACACCGAAGCTGGGAGAAGACAAGGGACGCGGGGTGGGGGTGGGGAGGGGTGGCTGGGAAGCTCGAAGAGCTGAGTGAAGGTCTAAGTCTCGTCCCATCTGACTTTACCGTCCCTGTGCTAGAACAGCTGCACAATAGGGAGGCCGTGGGAACTCTGGTGCCAAGCCGGGCGCTCCTGGAGGGCAGGGCCAACCAATGTAGTGTACCCGCAGCCCAGGGCTGGCTTCCCGAGGACTACTGCAGTCTTGTCCATCCAGCTTCCCCACCAGGGCGCCGGTCAGAGACTCGGTGCTTACATCTGCCTCCCCACACTGGCCTCCTCCACCCTCCCCACATCCGGCAGGTGCTTCAGCCCGCGGATGAGCCGGGTGATTAGAGGTCCCAGCCGACTAGCAGCCGCAGGGAGAGGTGGGCGGGGCGCCTCCCCTGCGGACCTCGCTCCGGGTCGGGATTACAGGTTATAGTTGCAAGGCCGGCAGGGTTGGAGGCATTTGGTTTCGCGGCCGCCACCGGCGCCACCGTGGCACTTTGGGCTGGGGGCGGGGAGGAGAGCATTCTTGGAGGCCCGCCCGCCCGCCCGCCTTACCGGGGGTCTGCCAGGCCCCGCCCCAGCCTGCCCCTAGCGGCTTACAGAAGCCGCGCTGCAGTTCCGTTGGTAGGGGGCGGAAACTGAGCTGTGCAGCCGGGTGACAGTATTTAGTCATTCTCGGGCCAGAAGGACCTGGCCCCCAGCCTAGCGGCCTCCGAGGCCTCCAGACTAACCCCGAAGTTCAGGGCTGGCGGCAGCCTGCAGACCGCCCAGGGGGATCGGCTCCGCATGCGTACTGGAGGCCTGGCAGCCTGAAGGCCTGGCGAGTCAGACTCCCTGATGCGGTCCAGGACTCAGGCCGGACCTCAACTTGGACAAGCCCTTTCACTTAGGGGTTCCCTAGCCTCATGCACGTCACCCCTGGCCAGAGGAGGCTCTGACGAGGTGGGCGAAAGCAGATACACAGTCACCCGGGTCACAAAAACTCCGGAGACTTGGAGCAAACCTCACGCGAGATCTCGCAACTATCGCGAGAATCTGAACAGGAAGCCTAGAAATTCGGAGCAGGAAAGGCCCGCGGGTTTTAAATCGGAAAAAGAATGGGCGGGGCCAGCGATGGCTGATAGTTCTGGATCATGCTCTATCCTTTGCACTGGGGGCAACTGAAGTGTTGCTCTGGGGCAGAAGTGAACTGTAGAGAACTGCGGGAAGCCCTGAGAAAAACAGGGGAGTGGGTAGGAAAGGATTTGAAATTGCGGAGCTGACTAATGGAGCCATTCAGAGAAGTCTGGCTCTGAATTACAAAATGCCTTCAGGGTGATCACTCCCGGTATACGAAGCGGAAGCAGTCGGGGATCTAATGAATTGTTACCGGTTTCTAAGACTTGGAGCCAGCATTTAAACAGGAAACTCCCCAGACCTCCAAACTCTTCACTTACCCCACTTTACTGTAGCCGGTTGTTTACTTTCAGGATTTGCTATGCTCTAAGCGTTTGGTATTAGGAATCATGCCTGACTCTTCACTGTATCTTGTGCACCTAGCCCTGCGCCTAGCAGCACAGTAAATTCTCGGTAAATATTTGGGGATTAAATGTGAAAGACTTCCTGTGTGTGAAAGTCAAGTTTAATTTAGATTTTTCTAAGTCGCTGAAGGCTGGATAGACGGGGAACGAGCGCCCTCTGGTGGGCATGCGGTTGGTGATGAGAACAAGACCATGCATACAGTAGGCACCAAAGATGTTAACTATACAGATCTGCTTTTATTAAGTAAAGATTTGTTCCAGGAAAAACACCACATATTGTAAAAAAAAAAATATTTTTAGAAGGTATTTTTTTTTGCAAAAGACAATTTGAAAATCTAAATATGTTCCCAGATCCTCATCATCTGACACTATCCAATTCAGAATGTAAAACACATTCGATAACTTCTATTCCCATGTGATTTTTGCATATTCATACTTTGAAAATGTATGGGTCATGCAAAACTATTGAGCCACAAGAAGGGGATTCTCTAATTTAGATAACAGTACTGGAAGGGGAGAAGCCAGGGGGCAGCACCTTTGCATTTACATGAGGGAGACTAGATTCAGATGAGAGAGTGAAGTTAAAAAAATATCTTGAAGAATAGATAGTACTGCCTCTTTCTCCTCCCTACTCTTGACTGTAGATGCTTGTACTGAGAGAATGAGGTATAGAATATAGTTTGCTTTTCATCGTAATTCATAGCCTGGAGTTCACAGGTTATCATGTCTTTCAGCCACTAACCATGAAATAATTGTTAAATATAATGACAGAATGAAATGGGTCTTGTACAGAATGACAGCATAAGAAGAAACAAGGTCTAAAAGATCAGTGTGTAACTGGGTAAGAACTTACTTGGGAGGGATCACACATTCTAGCCTGTCACTTCATGAACCCTGTTTTGACCCAGCTGGTGAAAATAGTGGGGTTGCAACTTTGATGAAGAGGCAGAGGTGAAAGTAATGATCCAAAGTGACCCATGAGAGACGGATACAGAGGAACTGTGCTTCCTGTGAACATTACAATCAGTTAAGTCAAAGAAGGCTCAACAGATAATGAAGATGGAATACTTTGTAGATACCAACTATGACAAATAGGTGAACTTAGTCAAAATATGTGTAGGAAAACAAGGTTAAGTATATGGATACTGATCATTACTGTGTAAATATTTCCATACATATCATCAGTAAACATCCTAAGACAATTTGAAATGAGACAAATGGTTGAGTATACTGCTCACTCTTCCTTTATTTTGTAAAATTTGTTTTCCATAATAAAAAAGTAGAGGCTATTTTTGTGGTAGATTTTGTAGGTAGATTGAGATAAATTTAGAAAGTTGGGACAGCCAAGTGAGAGGATACACATTATACTTTGGCTACAAATAATATTACCAAATGAAAGCTGGAATACTCAGGAGACTAGCTGTCTGGAATACTTAGGCATTAAGTCAAGTGAAATGAGCTTTAAGACATACAGAGAGAGATCAGGGGAAAATTTCTTTAGTTTACTCTTCCTGTATCCCAGGAAGCAACTCTCTCCGCCCCACCCTCAGTGTCCCATCCACCTTTGAGATAAGAGACTGGAGCTCCATCTGACCTGATGTCTTGGCCATATTTTGAATTACTCAACTTAGAAAGGATGTTTAAATAATTTAGATTCTCTCTACATTTCTTGTTCTCTTTTTGTTTTTAACTTTTTTTCCCATTTTGTAGTATAACAGACAGGCAGAAAAAGTGCACAAAATAGAGATATAGTTCAATTAATTATTACAAAATTAATACTCATGTGATATCATCCAGGTCAAGAAATAGAACATATCCCTCCTTTCCCCACTAGATAACCATTTCTAACTCCATATTTTAATTTTAACTGCTTTTGACTTATATATAAATTGCAATATACCTAGGAATGGAATCATTGCTTTGTGTGCTATACATTCAACATTAGTAGTTATTACCAAACCATTTTTCCAAAGTGACTAACAATTTACATAGTCTCCAGAAATTAGCGAGAGCTCCCATTGTGCCACATCCTTGCCAACACTTGGTACGGGCAGCCTTTTCAGTTTTAGCCATTAAGTAAATATTTTAGAGCCTAAGATCTAAGATGGCTAGTCCACAAGGATTTCCTCCCCTGGATTGAAAAGAAATCTTTATTTTGAAATAATTTAACATTTACATAGAAGTTTAAAAAATAGCACAGGGGCACCTGGGTGGCTTGGTCAGTTAGGCATCTGACTTTTCAGCTCCGGTCATGATCTCACTGTTTGTGAGTTTGAACCCCCACCCCCACCCCCACCCCCGCCAGTCTGGCTCTGTGCAGAGAATGCAGAGCCTGCTTGGGATTCTCATTCTCTCTCTGTCCCCCTTCCCCTGCTGGATCTCTTTCTCTCTCTCTTAAAATAAATAAACTTAAAAACAATAGCACAGAAAGTTCCCATGTACCCTCACCCACCTGACCCCAATGATAACATATTATATAACCATTGTATAATTGACAGAACCCAAACACTGACATTGCTACAATACTATTTTTTTTAATTCTTTTTTTTTAAATATTTTATTTATTTCTAGGAGAGAGAGAGAGAGAGAGAGAGAGAGACAGCGTGAGCAGGGGAGGGTCAGAGAGAGAGGGAGTCACAGACTGAAACAGGCTCCAGGCTCTGAGCTGGCAGTCAGCACAGAGCCCGACGCGGGGCTCGAACCCACGAACCGCGAGATCATGACCTAAGCGAAAGTCGGACGCTTAACCGACTAAGCCACCCAGGCGCCCCAACATTGCTACAATACTATTAACTGCTAGCCAAACTATGGACCTTATTTAGATTTCACCAGTTTTTACATGTATTCTTATGGTGTGTGTGTGTGTGTGTGTGTGTGTGTGTGTTGTGTGTGTGTTTGTAATTGAAATTTTATTACATGTGTAGATTTGTGTGGCTATGAGGTGAATAAGTGGGTCTTCTGGGGTATGAGAGACTAAAGCTCATGCCAAGGGAAAAGCTTGTAGAATCTATAACACTAAACCAAATGTCATTTAGTATATCAGTTGCTTTTTAAGTTACTATCAAGAGTCATTGAAGGGAGGGGCACCGGGCTGTCTCAGTCAGTGAAGCCTGTGGCTTTTGATCTTGGAGGTGCGAGTTTGAATTCCACATAGGGTTTAGAGATTACTTAAAAAATAAAATCTAAAAAAAATATCATTGAAAGGACAGGAGGCTAGTTATCAGGAAAGCTAAATACACATTTTCACACTCCGTATCTACCTGTTGGGGCAGCTGGGGGCAAGGGCAGAGTCCT